GCCGGAACGGTGAGCGCCCCCGGCCACGGGGCAGGGCCTCTGCGTGGCACCCGGCTAGTACCCCCGAGGAACTGCGGGGGAGGGGCTCTCACTGTCCAGTCCTGCCCCATAGCGCCCCGCTGCCTGTCCCTGGGTGACCCACCCTCTGCCGGCGCCCCTCAGTCCTGCCCCATAGCACCCCTCTGCCTGTCCCTGGGTGACCCACCCTCTGCCGGCGCCCCTCAGTCCTGCCCCATAGCGCCCCACTGCCCGGCCCTGGGTGACTCGCGAACTGCGGGGGAGGGGCTCTCACTGTCCAGTCCTGCCCCATAGCGCCCCGCTGCCTGTCCCTGGGTGACCCACCCTCTGCCGGCGCCCCTCAGTCCTGCCCCATAGCACCCCTCTGCCTGTCCCTGGGTGACCCACCCTCTGCCGGCGCCCCTCAGTCCTGCCCCATAGCGCCCCACTGCCCGGCCCTGGGTGACTCGCCCTCTGCCGGTGCCCCTCAGTCCTGCCCTGTAGCACCCTTCTCTCCTGCCCCATAGTGCCCCAGTGCCTGGCCCTGGGCAACCCACCCTCTGCCGGTGCCCCTCAGTCCTGCCCCATAGCGCCCCTCCGCCCACCCAGGGTGACCCACCCTCTTCCGGCATCCCTCAGTTCTGCCCTGTAGTGCCTCACTGCCGGCACCCTTCAGTCCTGCCCCACGGTGCCTGCTGTGCCGTTTTCCCTGCCCGGGCTGGCAGGTAGCAGCTGCGGCCAGGCCCGGCGGGGGCTCGGCATTACCGCGCTCTCTCTCTCCCGCATCCTCTGCCCCCGCAGCCGTGCACTTGAAGACCCTCGTTCTGTCCCACAACGCCCTGGGCTCTGCCGGCCTGGAGCTGCTGCTCAGGAGCCTGCCCTGCGCCACCCTCAGCCGGCTGGAGCTGGGCTCGGTGGCTGCCCGGGCGGAGGAGCTGGTCGTGGATCCGGTGGTCAGGTACCTGGTGCAGGTAATGTGCCCCGGGCTGCTGTTCCCCTTCATCGGCTCCTGGAGCTTGGCCTGAACGTGGCTCCAGCACAGGGTCCCCTCTGGGCCATGTGGCCTCCTTGGGAGCCGACCCGCCCACACCTGGCTCTGCTGGTCGCCTGGCTGGGGGGCCCCACCTGCACCCCTCAGCCCCCTCTGCTCCCTTCCAGGAGGGCTGTGCGCTCACCCACCTGACTCTGTCTGGGAACCGCCTGTGCGACGAGGCTGTCGGGGAGCTGGCCAGGTAAGGGGCAGCGTGGGGGTCCCTGGGCGGGGGGGTTGCATGTGCTGAGCTGGGAGTCTGAACCCCGCTTCCCACTGGCAGAACAGCAGCAGGGCCCGGAGGGGGAGCCCCTCTGCTCCCTTCCAGGAGGGCTGTGCGCTCACCCACCTGACTCTGTCTGGGAACCGCCTGTGCGACGAGGCTGTCGGGGAGCTGGCCAGGTAAGGGGCAGCGTGGGGGTCCCTGGGCGGGGGGGTTGCATGTGCTGAGCTGGGAGTCTGAACCCCGCTTCCCACTGGCAGAACAGCAGCAGGGCCCGGAGGGGGAGCCCGTCTCACGCATGGTGTGAGGGGGGAGGAGGGAGGCTCTCTGGCCTAGGGAGGAGCCGTCCCTGCTGGGCTCTTGCCACGGGCCAATACCTGCGGGAGTGGGCCAGCAGGACACAGGCTCCGCGCTCCCGGGCCAGGTGCCTCTCCCCTGAGAGCCGGGAGTC